GCTCGAGGAATTACTGAGGTTCTTTGGCTAAGAAAACTCCTTAAAGATTTGGGGTATCCGCCAAAGGGTAAGTGTAGATTAATGTGCGATAATACCGCTGCTATTCGTATATCAGAGAATCCAGTACAACATGATCGTACCAAGCACATCGAGATTGATCGTCACTTTATCAAAGAGAAACTCGAGGCAGATATCATCAGTCTTCCATATGTTCGATCTGAAGATCAATTGGCAGACATTCTCACAAAAGCAGTACCAGCTGGAGTCTTTCAAGCAACATTAAGCAAGTTAAACATCCGAAATGGATGATTCAACTTGAGGGGGAGTGTTAGAAATATCAAACAAAAAGGGAATAGTGTAATATCTTGATAATATCCTTGATTGGAATCAAATTACCAATCAGGATATTTGATTAACTTCCACTCACTTTCCTTGATTGTCTTCATTATTAACTTTGTAATATTTATAGACATCATTAGAGATGTATTCAATAAGATGAACATTTTTAGCTGTGAATTGATTCTATATTTCTAATAATCTACAATGACAGGCCGCACTGGCCTTTTATGTTTAAAATCCATTTTATGATCTTTCTTCTGCTACAAGATCTGTGCTTTGGTACTAGTACTAATATCTTGCCTTTTGCATTTTAGACTTTTTCCTGTCTGTCAGTCTAGGACTCGGTGGGACCGATACGCCCCAAACAAGAATGCGAAAGAGTATTAGTAATGAGAGAACATTTTCAGCTACTGGCAATGAGTCATTTCTCTATAAAAAGCTGGGTATGCATATTACTTCATATTAATTTTGTTTCTGTTGGGAGCTGTGACAAATGGCATGCTATGGGATTCAAGCTTGCAAAATGATTTTATTAAGGTTTTAAAGTACATTGGTATAATGGTATCTCATATGTCTATTTATGTATTGTTTTGCAGTGGACCTTGCAGAGATGCTTTCTGCAGAGATGGAAGAAGAAGGCCTTTCTGGGAGGACACTGACACTGAAGCTAAAAACTGCTTCTTTTGAGGTATTTTTTTTGTTACATGTGATGAGGTGTTTTGATTAGAAACTCTGCGCTCTTAATTTGTTTGTTTATCAATGGTGATTCTCAGATAAGGACTCGAGCAGTGACTTTGCCAAAGCACATCGCCTCAAAAGAGGAAATATTCAAGCATGCTTCAAAGCTTCTGAAAGCCGAGCTCCCTGTATCTTTACGTCTCATAGGTAGGTAAACTCTATTTTTTTATTTTCTTCTTCATATATTTGTCTAAGGGTTCTTGTTAAGTAATTGCACATTGAAAAATTACAAATCTACAAATTTTACATAAAATTTCTTTGGCAACTCGTCCAAATCAGTTAAACATTTAGGATGAAACTTGAGAATTGGGTTACAAAGCATAGACCTTAGACGTGGACTACTATCATATTGACCTCTAGGATAAACTTCTAATTCTTAAAAAACTATTGCATTATTTCTTTGTATGCTCCCAAGGAGCCTTTTCATCAACCATTCCAATATTTATTTTCTACAAGGACTCCGTGTTTCTCAGTTTATGGAAGAGAATGCCAACCCTTCTGATCCCACACAAAGAACACTCTCCAACTTTGTTGTTCAAGGAGATGTTGCAAGAGAGGAGGAGGACGATCATGTGCCTTCGTGCTCTGATATTAGCGAAAATCCCTTCACAGGCGACACGTGTTCCGACTTTCCCACGAAAAGCAGCGAAATATCTCAAAGAGACAAAGTCAAAGTCAATGTAATGCATTTTAACCTGTTTTTTTTAACCTCATGATGATGATGTTGATGATGACTAGCCTTGAGTGCTGGATTAAGAGAGGCTAAAAAATTCTCACTTTTTTGTTATCCAGGTGTGTGAACCCAGTGATGCTAGCAACTCATCAAGGCCATCAACAGAGTTACAGCTGGAGGTTGCCGCTAACGAAACAGGGCATTGCTCAGATGATCATGAAGAGTTTCTAGTTTGGTTGGACGGCTATAAATGCTCGCTCTGTGGTATTGAAATGCCTCCAGGTTTCATCGAAGAGAGACGAGAGCATTCCGACTTTCATGTTGCACAAAGGTTGCAAGACGAGGAATCGAATGACAACTACAGATTGCTGACCCCTAATAAGCAAAGGTAGTTTCCTATCTGTCTCTGTTGTTTTCAGTTTTCACCTTGTAGCAGCTGAGACACCTTTTGATCTGTGTACTTCATAGAATGTTCTGTTCCATTCTTTTTTTCCCCATGAAGCAGAGATGTTTCTCTCACAGTTCAAAGTTTACCCTTTAGGTCAATACAGAATGGGGCTGCAAGAAATGGAGGTGGTCAGAGAAAGAAGAAGAAATTGTCTCCTGCTTCCACCAAGTGCATTCCAATTGATTCTTTCTTTGTCAAGACAAATCAGAATTTCTAGCTTCAAAAGTTTGAATAGCAATTAGAAATTGTTTGTGTACCTTCCTTTTCTTGTACAGTATGTAATAAGCAATTATAGAAAGAATATAATGTACATTTAAAGTTTTATGATCCCACATTCTTATATACATTCAATTTTTATGATAATTTTTAAAATTATGGCCAGGCTATTTTGACACCAAGGTATAAGTGTCATATTATGACACCACCAAACTAAGGCTGAATAAACTTATACGAAAATGATATCTCTTATATTTTTATCTCTGAGCGTTAACATTGTGTAATGTCATAATTTGGTATTATATGTTGAAGTTTTACCTTATTTTTTTACATTATATATTAACACTTTTTAGCATTATACGGAGCAAATGTTATTTGGTCAAAAAACATGGAAAATTTATTTTGATATATGTAATGTGTTTTAATTCTAGTTAAGCAGTTCTTTTCTAATTCTCAATAAAGTCTCGTTATAAATTCGTAGACTTGTAATTTGAGATTTAATGTTTAAATTTTAAAGTTGAAATAGTTCAAATAGAATCCAAATCCTTGCTAAAATGAATTCAATTGCACATCCGGTTACACTTTAATTTGACAATTATGTTGTCAAAAATCATGTCTGTCCAGAATTATGTTGTCAAAAATATGGGTGTCCCCCAAGTTAGTTTTTTTTTTTTCTCATTTACAACCCATAATTTCAACAAGTTTTGTTTTCAAGCCGCTACAATATTTTTCCCCTTTCAGAGCTTCTTGTAGAAACCTCATGGAAGCAAGTCGAATGGCTGCTGCATTTACATATCATCCCAAACCCCATCATCATCTTCATCTTCATCGTTCTGCAGATCCATTCAAGAAACCATCTTCCAGACCCAGACCTTCTCCATCCCCACCAGGAGCCACCGCCAGTTCAGCCACCATCCCGACCATGGCAGAGATCATGGAGAGTTGCAGAGCCCGGAATCTGGATCTCCAGCTCCGGTCAGTGGGGCCCTTTTTCAGAGTAACGGCGAGAAACATGAGAACGCAGAACGAGGTGGGGTGGGCCCAAGGGGTGACCAGGGTCTGGTTTGGGGGCAGAATCCTGCACCTGGACTCCATTAGAATGGGGAGAGAGACGGTTGGGATGGAGAAATCCATGTTTGGGATTGGTGTTTTCGTTGGGGCAGTGGCAATCAGGCATGGGTATGATTCTGGGTGTACCAAAGCTGAGCTGCTCGCCATTAATGACTCTCTTCTCTACCACTCCAAGGTACTCCCCTCTTGTTTTGACTTTTTGTTATTTGTAAGGAAAGTTGAAAAAAGTCAAGTTTACCAAAATATCACAAATGAAAATGGGCGAAGTATATATATCAAATGGGGCGAGGGAAATGTAATAAATAAAGTATGTAGTGGCAGTTGTGGTATTTACTTCATTCGTCTCAAAATGAATTTTACGCTTTAAATTTAAAGGGTTGAAAATTTAAAAAAAGAAATGGATGAACGCTGTTAAATAGAGAGGGAAACGTTGTGATTCTTTTCCTAAAAGGAAATGAAACAAGTATAAAGTTTTGACGAGTTTGAAAATTTGACAGTTCATACCCTCCTAACCCTCTCGATGAAAAATGTTGGTACTTTTTTTGTTATTACTAGGGATTGTATTAAATTTGGATTTGTTTTAAATGAGTAGCTAGTGAGGTTCTACAAGAGAATTGGGTTCAAAGTGGTGCATGAAGTGAAGGGTGAGTCCCTGGGAGATATAGGGCACATGTTAGTTTGGGGAGGTATAGGCACCAGAATGGATGCCAACCTTGAAGATCTCCTCATCAAATGGGGCCCAAAATTCAAACCAATTGGACTCGAGACCGGGACGACACCGCAAAACTCCCGCAATTGAACTGTTTGAAAACTAGAGCTGGCTAAGTGGTCGGTCAAATATGATACTTTCATGTGTATATCATTCCTGAAATGTACTCCGTATTGTTTCTCTCTTGTAAGTAAATTTCAACCAAACCATTTTCATTTATCACATATTGGATCAATGTAAGCAATCACTTGGAGACATGGGATACATAACACACAAATCACAAATGTAGCAGCAGCATCTACAGTACATTACAACCCCCTGGGAAGCCAATGCTGGATCGAAACGTGACAGAACTCCAATGAATTCATGTTCTCTCATGCAATCCAACAAGAGGAACTTCAAATGTCGTCCTGAAAAACAAGAGGGAAACAGAAATGACACAATTGCATGTGACATCCTTGAGAACTGCACAATGTCAAAGGCCATGTTTGTTGTTTGACAGTTAAAACATAATACTGAAAGGGTCATGCTATGGTGTCAAACTTAGAGTGATCTCTGGGTTAAAGAAGCATTTTCCATACGAAAATGTTAGCTTAACAAACCAGCGAGTGGAAATGGTGTTTTCCTCCCCTCAAAAGAGAATTTCAAAATCTCAAAACCTCAGCAAAAGGTGGCACAAACCTGTAATGGGGGATCTTTTAGATCCGAAGATCTTCAATGTCTGCTAAAACATCTTTGTGTGCCATAGACTGCCTGTTTGGCAAATTAACTACTAACTGACCACAGGCACCACTTATGTCTTGTCCCATTTGCTTGCGAACTGTTGTTCGAATTCCATAGGTATCCCTCAAAATTTTCTGAAATCTGGTCACTTTCTCATCATTACTTGTTTGAAACGCACTCAGGGAACCAATAGGATTAAAAGGTATCAAGTTCACAACCTACCAAAATGTTGCAAACACAAAAGTGATCAAGTAATTGTTCACTCTTTTATGTGCTCAGTATCCAGCCACAAAAAATAATGGATGAATAACTACATTAGAAACATACCGTTAGAAATGTCTCCAGCAATTTACCAAGCTGGTGGGCATGCTGCTCCTCATCATTTACTCCATCAAGCATTATGTACTCGATAAATATTTTTTGCTGGCTAGAAATAAGAACTGAATTAGAAGTTGAAAGGGTGTTTAAATTTCAAATATGATTCGCTGACTGAGTGATGAAAAGGCAAAGAGAAGATTAAGAAAACACCTTTTCTTTTGATACACAAGCAATGCATCCATCAATTTTTCCAAAGGAAAGGCTCTGGCAGCAGGCATTATCTGACAGCGGAGATCCTGAACCGGTGCATGCAGAGACACGGCAAGGTTTATATTTGGAAGATCGGCATGGAGCTTATTAATGGCATGGATGATACCAACCTAGTCAAGATCCAATTTAAAATCGCATTATTGCTATGTAGGCATCTCAAACATAATGCACTCAGTAGGTAACTAGTGTATATAAAAATCAAGGAATCAAGGGATATATTAGTTTTTTTTAATAATCCACTCATCATACCGTTGAGACAGTAATTTTCCTTGGAGATAAATGGAATGGAGACGACGTCATAATATGAATAGCCTCCACAAGAGAAGAGTAATTGTTTAATGGTTCTCCCATTCCCTATCCAACAATTGAGTGATAAACTATAAAAAAAATGTGCAATTCAAAGCCAAAGCAGAAATGGCATGATGGTAAGTGACAGTACCATGAAAACAACATTGCGTATGGTAGAAAAAAGAGAAGCGTGGACCAACTGCTCAACAATTTCACCAGATGAAAGATTGTTTTTGAATCCCATGCTTCCTGTTGCACAAAATTTGCAGCCCATTTTGCATCCAACCTTTTAGCACAAAGTGGCTGTGAGTTTAGTTAACAAAATTGCAGCCTGATAGTTATAATACACGAGTGAGTTAAGTTCAGTAATTTTTCAACAAGAGGAACATTGCATCCAATCACATTCATCTTACCAACAAAAGCAATGCACACATTCAATGGAAGCAGTAAATGCAGAGTAGAAATGGAATGCCAAACCTGAGAAGATATGCACAGAGTTGATCTTGGTCCCCCAGAACGAGGCTTTCCATTATATATTCCCAAGCGCGAGTCGTATCTCATGATTACAGCCTCCACAAATGATCCATTCTGCAGAAGCAACAACAAGTGTTCTTAAACCAAACAGCCAAATATTGAAGCAATGTTCTCTAATTCCCTAGAGGAAGAACCTGCAGATTGATCAAATGAACAATGGGAATTCATGGAATAACAAGACTGACCTGCAGCTTGATGAGGAGCTTGGTGGTAACACCGTCACTTGATTCAACGGCGGAGTTAAGGGTGGAGAGTAAAGGTACAAACTTGGAGCGAAGCAAATGGTACGCCCCTGAAGGCAAAGATGGAATTTCATCCCATTGACAATTAGGGTTCTGCATTACATGCCTGTAACAGCGTAATCACATAGATAAACAGCGCTAAATACATGTATATGTATCGAAGAAGACGACTGTTACGAACAAGGAGACAGAGAGAGAGAGATGCGTACTTCCAGATGATAGGGATGAAGCGAGTACTGACACCAACTTGTTCGAATTCAGCTCTAAGTTGAGAAGAATCGAACACTGATTTCAATGCCATTTTTAGGTTTTATTACTTCAGTGGCTTCCTTCGATCCTGCCAGAGGCTCTTTCTCTCTGTCTCTGTGTTCGCGAGAGAGACGACGATGGGAGGTTGGCGATGGAGAGCGTACGACGGCGTATTAACTGCTCTCCGCTTTTAGGGCTTGAAATTTACTATAGCATTACAACTTAAGCCCGGTAAGAAATGATAAATTATTAGCCCAATGATATTTTCGGCTAATGCGGCCCGATATCATTCCTCCGGACTCAGGAGTCAAAACACCACCGTTATCTTGCGATGCGCCACCATTTTTCCCCGTTCTCCTTTGGCCAACTAAGCCTCATGTCACTTTCAGTTTTTCCTTTCATTTCTGTTTCGTTTTCTTGAAAATGTCTTTTCATTTCTTATTGATTTTTAATATTATTTCTAAACTTATTTTAATATAAATAATTAAATTAAAAATATAAAAAACAATAATAATTTACTTTTTCATTTTTTAAAATTATTTTTAACACTTAATTTAATTAAAATAATTAAATATATATAATAAAATAAATAATACAAACTTAGAAAACCACAAAATAAAAAACTTAAAACTAAAAAAAATCAAAAAATTAGAATTAAAAAAAGTAAAATTAGAAATAAGAAAAAGAAAAGAAGCAACAAAATAAAGATAAAAGAAAGAAGCAACACAAACAAAGAAGGAAGAAGCAAAAAAACACAAAAGCAGATGGACAAACGGGGAGGGGTTTCCGCTCTTCCCGTTCCCACAGTGGGGAGAGTGTTCCCCTTTCTTTCCTGGCGCCACATGGCTTCCCCTTTTTCTTTCTCGTGCGGCAGACCAAACGACCTTATACTATAATCTTCAACTCCACAAATCTATAGTCGCGTTTTAACTAACGTTTAAGTAATTGTTTGGAAACGAGCTTTTGAATTGGCATTTTAACTACTCCGTAATTTTTTAATAACATAAGTTAGTTCTGAACATATTAGTACTCAATGTTACCATTAGATAATTTTTTTAAAATAAAGATGGACACTAAACCTCTTATTAAACGGTTTCTGAAATTAGCATTTGACCATTTGAATTATACAAAACATATAATATTTTATAGTGGAATCTAATTTTAATAACTATCTGGAGAGTCTTAAAATACTGAAATCAATCAAGCATAATCTTACTAGATACTTAATTTGTGTTTGTTGCTTGTATTCGTTGCAACACAATCAGAAGCCCTAAACCCTTAGTTTGGTTTTGTTGTTGATCGGAGGTCTAAATCTTGTTGATCGAGTCGAGATTTTAGGAGTCAAAGGGTTCATATAGCTTCAATATCAATGGTGGTAGATCTTGTGTAATAAGCTTCATATTAGACTGTTAAATTTTAAATCTAGTGTCGTCATAGTATTGTTTATGGTTAGATATCTTTGGGGTGGTGTTATATTGTGTATTTGTGTTATCGATTTTGATGCTCGTGCAGTTGGTTAGACCAAAAGGTCTCGTAGTTTTTTAATAATTTATGTTGAAAGAATTTTCTAATTGAGTTAAAAATTTTGTACTCCCTATTTTTTATAAGTGTCTGTTTGGTATATGAAATTAATGGAATTGAAATTCAATTGGAATTGAAATTCCATGATATTCAATTTCATATAATTGAATTCACCAATTCCAATTCGTTTTTTGCACTATCAATTCTAAAATCCACATAATTTTTGTACTACCAAACACCAGAATTGGAATTGAAGTCCTCAATTCCAATTCCATAGTTTGAATTCCATGTATCAAACAGGGTCTAATTGTATTTGTGTTTGGATCAACTTGATTCTCATCTTGGGCACGACACTTATTTGTGTTTCTCTTCCCAATCGATTAAACATTGACGTGAAGAGTACATGTTTGGAGAAAAAAACTGTTTGTTTAGTTTATACAAGATTCATCATAGAAGTAATTTGCTAGTAAGTGCAGGAGTAATTACTCAAATCATACGCATAAAAACTTAATAACACAAATTCATTTACAATTAACATCCAAAGATAAAAATAATGATACAAATAAATGAATCAAATATTATGCATAAAAATCTACACTTGAGAAAAACAACAATAAGGAGTATTTATTTTGGGTTGGAGGCATGGTTGACGCCAGGTGGTGGCCGGTACCGAACATCGCCGGAATCTTCGATTCATCGTCGGCGATTGACGGTGGTGGCGATGGAAAAAGAGGCTTGATGGCCACTAGAGCGACTCAGGCCACTGCTAGCCATAGAAGCGGCGGCGGCGGCAGAAGGGATCATCGAACCTGCAGCAGCTCTGTTGCTGAAGCTCCTGATAACATTTCGGGGAGAGCGCTGATCGGAGAATCGGTCTCGGAACTCATCGGAGATCTGGATCCTCCGGCGAGAAGAGCCGTCGGGGGAATCGGATCCGACGAGCAAGTGGTAGCTCCTGTTAGAGGCGTCGGAGAGGCAGCGGCCGAGGGCGTGGTGATGGGGCGGCCGTTGCTTCTTGAGGGCGTGGACCAGATATGGGATTAATCCTTCCATTTCTGAATTCTCAGAGCTTGATTTAATGATGATGATGATGATGATGAATTGTGTATAGATAGATGGAATAGACCATAGCTGACATTGTATTTATAGGTGGGAGAAAATTGGGTGTTTGATCGGATCAATTCATAAACCATCAAACTCAAACCTGCCACCAGATTTTGAGTCACAGCTCCAAAAATTATCTCCCAATTGCTATTACAATATTTGACTAAAGTCATTTTTAATTTATTTTTTATAAAAAAAATGATATATAATTAAAAATTACATATTTCAAAAGTAATCAAAAGATCTACTCCCTCCGTTTGGAAAAACCCTTCCCATTTGATTTGGGGGCAAAAATAAGGAAGTGTTAAATTATAGTTAATTTCCAATTTTGCCCTTGATGTGATGGTTAGATTATTAGAGAAAAAGTATGATGTGATAGGTAGGGTATGAAAAAGTAAGGGTAAAAGTGGTTTTTTAATAGAAAGGGGAAGTGTTTTGTTGGAAGTGGAAAAAATGAAAGAGGAAGTGTTTTTGAGAACGGAGGGAGTATAAAAAATGGAAATAACATGATAATGCTTCCTCTGTCCCTGAAAGAATTTCCCTTATTGACTTTTTAGAAAATGAAGGGAGGGATATTTTTGTGTTGACTTTCCAAAAATACATTTGATGTGATGGGTAAAAATAAGATGTGATGGATAGATTATTACTCCCCCCGTCCCTAAATATTTGCCACATTTGTATTCCCGAGGCAAAATATCAAGTTTTTTCAATTCATTTTATTTACATATTGGTTTAGAAATAAAAAATAAAATTTACATATAAAAAAACTACATGAAAAGTTCTTCGAAATAAGAAATGTCAAGAATATTTTATTTTATCAAATAACCAATGAAAACGTAGAAATAAACAAAAGTTCCCGCGACTGCTGAAAAAGCAAATGTGGCAAATAATTTGGGACGGAGGGAGTAGTAAAAAGATATGATGTGATATGTAGGATACGAAAAAGTAAGTGATAAAAGTGTTTTTTAATAGATAAGAGAACATCTTTTGGAAACGACAAAAAAATGAAAGTGAAAGATCTTTTAGGAACGGAAGAATTATTATTTTATTAAATATGCAACAAAAATAAGTCAACAAAGTGAATGAAGATGGATCCTATGAATAGTAAATGAGAAAATAATTTTTGGACGGAGAGAGTATTTAATTTGATTTCATTAATATTTAATTTGATACCATCTGATATAATTTAGTTAGATTTAATTTAATTTTAATAAAATTAAGTATTTATGTCTCTGTACATTTCTCCAATTTTACCTTTTGAAGTCAAAATTGATAACTAAATAAATATTACATATCAATATAAAGATAATTTTACTGAATTTACTTCATAAAATATTTTCAAATATAATTTTATTTAACTAATATATCATATAATTTTTATGTAATTATAATTCAAACATAAATAATACGGAGTAATAAAAAAATCAAAACTAGATTAATATTAAGAGGAAGTTAACAAATACTCCGTACACGGTAACTCTTAACTGGTGTTGAATAAATATTAGCACTCCTTATGACACGGTTCTACGGGCGTAGGTATTTGACTTTGATTTAAGTCGTGAGTCGTGACAGTAAATTCCTTGTATAATTTGGACTTTAAATACACATGTTTGATCAGATAGAATTGAAAGGATGAGTCGCCCCTTCAGATCCGATCAATAAGAGGAGATAAATTGAATTTTGATCGTAAATTGGTGACAAAAAATGAAGTCTTCACTTGGTGCTTGTAGATAAAGGTCATGTGCTTAGTATAGTTGTCAAAAATCAAACACAAATTTTATCCCTTTTGCATTCATTCTCTTGCCAAATACGCAACGCTCCGCAACACCAGATAGAATTGAAAATGATGGAAAGGGGTGGATGCCACTAAGTCTGACGTCCAACTTCAAAACCAAATACTACATGCCACGGGCATGAATTTTAAGTTACAAAGGCATTTGGGTGTCCTAAAAGTGTGTAATTTTAATACTCCGTATTACTTTTTAATTTTGTCATCATTACATTATAATAAAATATGATATGATGTGTGCGTATTATATCTAGTCACAATAACTAAAAAATAATATCAAAATCAGTCATTTTTAGAGAATGTCTTTCTTTGTCTTTGAGAAGTTGTATGAGACGGAGGAGGTCCGTATTTAAGAAGTTAGAAACAAAATCTACAAAACTAGAAGTGACAGGCATGATATTATTTTATCAAATGGACAATAAAAATAGGATAACAAATTGAATAAAATATGACTCTGTGAACAGTGAACAAAAAATAATTTTTGAATGAAGAGAGTAATTTCATTCATTCCCATTAGCTTTTTTTTAAAAATGAGTATTGCTTTTAATACACTTTCAGAGTATGTACGCTACAAGATATGAAAAGAAAACAAAATAAGGAGTATAATTACATCATTATTACATAATAATGTCATCACCGGTGATTAATTAACCACCAGATGAAAAAGATGGTTTAGTGATAACAGCCGCAGCTATTTCTTTATTACAGCTGGAAAAATGGGGCATTAATAATTTTGACGATTTGGCAGCCGGAGATATCGCCGGAAAACCAGCGATCAATTCTTTCTTGAAGCTCTTTACCACGGAAAAGTGCTCCCGATCGAGAGCGGCAGGTGGCGGCAGCTGGAAGTCGGAGACGGTTATCCGGTGATGGGAAGAAGAGCCCTCCGCGGCGGCGGATTCACCGTCAGCTCCGACGAGCGGACGGTAGCTCCGGTTGGAGGTGTCGGAGAGGCACCGGCCAAAGCTGTAGGGGCGGCGGCGATGATGCCCTTGGTCGTTCTTGTTCTTCTTCATGGCGTGGAGCAGATATGGGATTAGTCCTTCCATTTCTTAGCTTGGATGTTAGCTCAGCTTGAATTGGATTAATTATTTAATTTGTTGATTCTTTTTTTGTGGTAGAAGTATAATTTAATCAACCATATATTATTATTGGTGGCATAACAAAGAAGTATTTATAGCTAGCTAGTGGGGGTGTACTCATGGACACGTAACAAATATTCTCTCAATTGACATTGAATCATCCTAATATGGGCTTAATTGATGATTCTAGACTAATCATTTAAAAAATTAATAATCCCAAACCACATATCTCTCTCAAGTGTACCACCAATTTTAGTTGGCTTTAATTTAGATTCAATAAAATTTGACTCCAAAGTTTTAAAATATTAAGAATTATACTCTCTCCGTCCATGTAAGATCTTCCCATTACGCGTTACGAGGCTTGACCGACTTTATTTTCAATTCAATTTAATTCATTATAGGAGTAAAATTTTAAAATAAAATTTATATAGTAATAAACTACATGAAAAGTTCTACAAAACTAGAGGTGACAAGACTATATTATTTTATGAAATGACTAGTAAAAATGAGCAAACAAAGTGATTAAAGTTTGACCTTGTGAATAGTGTCTGGGAAGATCTATGGTAGACAGAGGGAGTATCATACTTCTTATTCTTTATAAAATAATAAGACTTAATTGATATGGTTATATTATAAGAGAAAGACTAAAATATGAGTCAATTATAAGAGAAAATGAAAAACAAAATTTTACTCTATTTTTTTTGTAGTAAGACCTAAAATTTTAATCACGGCAACATATAATAAATGTACACGAAGATATAATATGGAATATCTATAGTCACAAAACAATAGTCTTATTTTATGATGACTAATAAGTTTATGATTTCTTCTATATTACGGAGTATTATACGGAGTACGAAAATGTGTTTAGAAAAAAAATGACAGACGAAATTGGTATATAAATAATGGTTATTGAGATGGGCACGCATGCGCGGTTTGACCTCTTTGCATTGATAGCGAATGACAATTAAAAAACAAAATTAAGGAGCATTTATGAGAAGTCAATCGGTGGTGAACGAGCTTTGAGAAATTAAATTGTTATTCTTTTCGTTCGAAAATGTTCTTTTCGTTTGACTTTTAACGATCTACAATGTTACATTTTGACCATTAATTTATATATTTATATATAGATATATTTTATAAAAGTTTGATATTTTAAAAATATGTTTCATTAGGATCGGAATATATTGATATTAAATTTATATCATAATACAATGTATTTTTTCCACAAATCGAAGTTAAATGTTACAAATTTTGACCAAGAAAAGTCAAATGTAAATAACATTTTCAGACGAAGAGAGTAAGTTTTAAGGGGAGAGCAAGTTTCAAACTTGTAACCTTTTAGAGTCTATTCTCTTCAACTTAGGGTTTGTTCTGTTCATCTAATATGATTTATTCTGATTTGATTGGATTAAAATTTGATATAGTCTGATCTGATTGTAGTTATATTTAAAGTTGTTTTTTATTTGATCGGATTCTAATAAGACTATGTAATAAGTAATAAAAATAAGTTGAAAAAAGAACTCTTATTTTTATTACTTATAACTTATTCTTATTCGAATCAGACCAGATTAGAAACAATTTTAAATATAACTACAATCAGATCAAACCATACCAGATCACACTCGATCATATCAAATCAAAGCTTATCTCATGAACTTTATAAGAATCAATCGATCATTTCAGGTGAAGGTGAAGAAAAAACGAAGTTAGTCAATAAATTCTTGTTTTCATACAATATATTTAATTTTAACAATTCAACAAAAACTTACGATTGTAAGCCTAGTAATCTTTTTATACTCCCCAACACATTCTTACTCTCGTTTTATGCCACATATTTATACATATCATAATGCGTCAAGTTTAGAAGTTTTTAAGTGAATATGCACTATTATCTTTCAATCTTTAGAGTGATTTTTACATGAACACATTGCATATGAAACATTGAAATTTATAAAATATTGTTAGTAAAAAAAACGGAATTAAAATAACCCACGTCTTCTATAAAGCAGATACTATAAAATAAGATGTGATCATTTCTTCCGAAAAAAGATGTGATCATTAATGATCTAAATTCTAAGATGGGGTAAATGGTTGGGCGGGAGTATTTGACCGGCGATTTCAAACCGACAGCACAGCTATTCATTTGTAAAAGTCTACCCCATCCATAATTTTTTTATTTTTATTCTTATTTTTATTTTTATTGTAAGAATCCAGTATCCATGACCTTTAAATGACGTGAGTTACTTTGGTTTATTGTGGAAAATATTAAGGGCCATGCTACACTTACACCACAAATTGTACACCATTTGTACACTACAGGTATACGCAAACATTTTGATGGTTTAAACCGACATAAGTGTTGGTGCGTTAAAAAATTTTTACACAGGCACAAAGTGTTTGTGCATTAACAAAAATTAGTTTTACACCAACACAAAGTGTTGGTACAAACTTACGGTGTACAAAATGGAGTACAAAATATGGGCTACATGTAGCTTTATCCAAATATTAAATATACATTATGTTACGTCCTTAAAATTAGTCTGTATGTTGAGTTACCGAATACCATGCAAATTATTAATTGATATTATTATTTTAAATGTTTTGGAGTTTAAATTCCAACAACATTGAGTCCTAGCAACTCATATTGTGGCCTACCTAATAATCTTATATTATCTACAATTCACCATTCTAATTTCTATTTTAAAAAATTCATATCTATACTAGCTACTTTCCGAGTAGGGGCAAGGTCTGCGTACACACACTCTCCCCAGACCCTACTGTTGTGGGATTCACCTAGGTTGTTGTTGTTGTTGTTTACCTACTATATATTTGACTTTTCACTCTTCAATTCTTTGTTTCGTTTTTTTAAACCGACAATCCATTGACCTCATTTCGTAGGGCAATGAATCACCCTTTGGTGGAAGGTAAGATCACACACACACAGAGATATATATAGTGATGACCATTGATGAAAATTGAAAATAAAGATAGTGAACTTCAAATGAAAGTAAGATCACATTTTCAGTTTTTTTGGTATGTATTACCAATTAATTATCGAACCAAAATATATTCTGTATTAACCATACCAAACTGATTTATTATGGTTCGGTATTCAGTACAAAAATCATTTTACTGATATTTCGGTGCGGTACGGTACGGTTTTACCGAATGAACAGCCATAATCCACATGTATAATTTGGACGGACTTTCTCTCATTTTTATGGACTTACGAGGGTATCTTGTTTTTCTATTTCATAAAAAGTCTAACCTTTTTATGGTGTTTATATATTAAGACACATCTACTAAGTGTATACCTTAAGACCACCTAATAAGAAAGTGTATTTGGGAAGTTCTCTTCAAAGATTGGTCCTAACTTACATGACCGAACATGGCACTCCGATCCAATCATGGGTGGCCCGGATGGTGTTTAAAGTGGCAAACCGCACAGGATCCCTAAAATTTTAGAGCTTCATATTTTTAAATTTATCATTAATTTTGAAGCGTAAGTATTCTAAAATAATAAAATAGGGCTCAAAATATAAATTTTGGACCCGATCAATTTCATTTTTTCGAGACCGACCCTGACTCCAAAGATCGACAAAGTTTTAAAGTTATACTTTGATTTTGGGATCAGAGTGTTTCTGCTCCAAGTTTGGATTGTGTTTGAGCATAAATAAACTTTCTTGGCCACAACCACAAGTTTGAGCTTTTGGTCGAATGAGTTCTTTGACATAGTATCGGAGTAGGTTTTGGCCAATCTCATTTGTCAAGGTGTCCGTCTAGACGTTCATTTCTAGCGGTCCGTTAGTCTTTAGCCCAGTTATCCGTATGGAGTATGTACCCAACGGCCTGTGGCCCGTTTAACACCATTCTATATTCTATCAGATTGTATACTAGAAAAAAATCATCAAATGATAAATACTCTCTTTGTAAAAAAAAGGGTTACGTTTCTTTCATGTTTCTTATCAAAATAAAAAAAATTTAACTTTCTTCGTCCAAAAACAATCCAACAGTTAATTATTTAAAAATTACAAGAAATTTTATTTATTATGTATTTATGTATTTTTATTGATTATTTGATAAAATAAAATATTCTTGTCATCTTTTATTTTGAAAATGTTTTGACATATTTTTTAATTATATAAATCTTATTTTATATTTTTATATCAATCTTTATATAAAATAAATTAAAAAATTTAAACATTTTTGGATAGATGGAGTACTTAATCTTATGTCATGTCCTCTTCACATGATGTGATTGTTTCTGATTTGATTAAAATAAGTTTTGACTAGGTGTGATTATTGTTTTATTTAAAGCTATTTTTTGATCTAATTTGATCTAATTCCAATAATAATAAGTAATATTTTATCTGTCCCAAAAAGATTGCCGCGTTACACTAAAAGAAGGGAAATTTCAAGTTTTTAAAAGTTATTTTATTAAAAGATTGGTATAGAAGTAAAAATTTATTTTCATATTTAAAAATCATGTCAAAAGTTATTTAAAATAAAATGTGACAAAAATATTTTATTTTATCAAACAATCAATTAAAATATATTATTAAAAAAATTCTCACGAGTTTTAAATAATAAATGGTGACATTTTTTCTAGACGAAAAACATACTCCGTAAGTAGTAATTTTTTTTTTTTGTTTTTGAAGAGAAGGCCTTACAATTTTACGTGGGTAATCATGTTCGTAAAAGTGGTAAAACGTATTTGAGCCAAAACAGTGGGTAAAACATGACACCATTTTCAAGTTTTCAATCTTTTTCACCTTTTTGGGACTCTGACTCAGTAAAAAGTTGCACACAAAACGAACCCCAATTCGGGAGTAGTTCAGGAAAAATGCACATTGATACAGCTTGAAGATTCTTGCTCTTCCCGGGTCTTAATCGGTATCTTTTTAATTGGAACATTTGAAGAAATGGGAAGTTTTGGAAGACCAGAAGGTTTAACCTTGCTAGGGTTTCTACTGCCGATCATACTTCAGTCGGTGTCGGGTCGGTTTGTGGTGGAGAAGAACAGTCTGAGGGTGATTTCACCGGACAACATCAAAGGCACCTTCGATTGCGCGATTGCCAACTTTGGGATCCCTCAATATGGGGGAAGCATGTCAGGGACTGTGGTCTACCCGAAGGATAACCGAAAGGGATGCCGAAAATTTGAGGATTTCGGAATTTCCTTCAAGTCCAAGCCTCCTCTCTTGCCCACATTTGTCCTCGTCGATCGTGGAGGTGCTAACATTTTCTTTCATGTTCAGTGTTTAATTTGAGGATGCCAATCATAATTGATTCAATACACCGGATAAGTATAATTGATTCAATATTTTAGCTGATTGTATTTGAATTTTTTCTGTGTTTCATTCATGGAAGAGCCTGGATGATTATTTCTTATTCTGCTTGTTTTAGTTATTCGTATCCGTTACGGACTTATGGTCATACGGAGTATTGATTGAACATTATCAATTTTGTCAGATCAAAAGTTTGCAGCTGTAATTGTTTTTCCCCACAAAATTGTAGTGTGATTGGGAAGGGACTGTGTTCTTAGCTATATGTGATTATTCTGCAAAGTTGAGACAATGTACTACTTTCTTGCAGATTGTTTTTTTGCATTGAAAGTTTGGAATGCACAGAATGCAGGTGCATCTGCAGTTCTAGTTGCAGATGACATGGATGAGGCACTGATAACAATGGACACTCCTGAAGAGGACGTACATGCGGCGAACTATGTTGCGAATGTAACAATTCCATCTGCACTCACCACTAAGGATTTTGGGGAGAAATTGAAGAAGGCAGTCAATGGAGCGGAAATGGTTACTGTAAGTCTTGATTGGAGAGAATCCGTTCCTCACCCTGATGACCGTGTGGAATTTGAACTATGGACCAACAGCAACGATGAGTGTGGTTTTAAATGTGACATGTTGATGAAGTTTTTGAAAGATTTCAAAGGTGCGGCACAGATCCTTGAAAAAGGCGGTTACACGCAGTTTACACCCCATTATATAACTTGGTACTGCCCTCAGGCATTCACCATTAGCAAACAATGCAAGTCACAATGCATTAATCACGGCAGATATTGTGCACCTGATCCTGAATCGGACTTTAGTTCAGGTTATGATGGGAAGGATGTTGTTCTTGAAAATTTGAGGCAGCTTTGTGTCTTTAGAGTTGCTAATGAGACCAGAAAGCCATGGATTTGGTGGGATTATGTGACTGATTTCCAAATCCGGTGCCCCATGAAAGAGAAGAAATATAACAAGGAATGTGCTGCTGAAGTAATAAGATCTTTAGGTACTTTATTAACCCTTTCAGAAAAAAGCAACTTGTTTCATCAAGATAAATCATACTCGTGCTTTTTAAATATTACGGAATACTTTTTAAAGCTAAATCTAACATTTTACTAGTTTGAAAAAATTCCATGGAAAAATAACATCAGATTCAATGAAAATTTGTTTCTTTTTAAAGTTTAAATAAGACTTTTAAAAGGGAAAGTATGTTCTGATTTTTTTTTGGGAAAGAAGTATTCCTCTTTTTTTATGGGATATGTAAACATTTATACGTAAAACAAGAGTTGATATTTGGATTATTTGTATTCAGGACTTGATTTTAAATCAGTTGAGAAGTGTATGGGAGATCCTAATGCTGATGCCGACAATCCTGTTTTGAAAGAGGAGCAGGATGCTCAAGTAAGTGTATCAAGATTTATTATTATTATTATTATAAGAGAATGCTTGAATCTCTGAAAATGCCATGAAAAGAAATGGTCTTATGTTTGGATTTAATTTGAAAAGTGAAATTCGCTCTAAATAGTACTAAAATATATGTCTTTTCCCAACGTAATACCTAAAACTTTTTGTTCCCTAAATAGTACATGAACAATGTCCGGGCAGATGGATATTTGCTTGAACAATGTTCAGTGGCAGTGGACATTTACTTGAACAATGTCCAGTGAACATTGAACCTCTGGTACTACATTGGGAAACTTGCTATGTTTTTGTACTATATAGATAAATTCCCCATTTGAAAAAGGCAGATGAGAGTGACTATGAATAACTTTTATTTAAAGTTTACATTTATTTGTCAGAGTTTTCATATAATATAGATAAATAAATAAAACGTAGTTGAACAATTATCTAATATTCTAATCTAAATGTGTTGATAATGAACATATCTTTTTATCCTTCTATCATTCCCAAAAAAAATTTTCTCTAGTAATTCCAAATGAACCCTCACAATATGTTTGGTTATAGGAATTCCCAAAGGAAAAGAAAAGAAAATGGAGTGGAAAAACAGTTTTTCTTGCTTGGTTAGAGAGGAAAAGAAAATGAGAGGAGGAACTTAACTCAGAGGAAAGAAAACAAATTCCCTTTCACTTTGGTGAAGAAAGGAGAGAAAACATCTTTCTTTTCCTTTCCTTCCCATTTACCCAAAACCAAAAATAACATGACTGTTTCAACAAGTTTTGTTTATTAAGCAGTCTTGACATTGTTAAAACTTTTGCAGGTTGGTAAAGGATCACGAGGTGATGTCACCATATTGCCCACCCTTGTAGTAAACAATAGACAATACCGAGGTTAGACTAACATACTGCTAATTGTAGACTTTATCTTTGTAGGAGACCCAACCTTCATCTCAAATAATATGTGTACTTGCAGGGAAGCTGGAGAAAGGTGCTGTTTTAAAGGCTATTTGTGCTGGCTTTGAGGAAACCACGGATCCTGCTGTGTGTTTGAGTGATGGTATGTTTGCAACTTTGCTTTAAGCAATGTCCTGGATGTTTTTTTTCTGTTTTCCATTGCTTCAATTTGAATGCATATATTTTACTACAGATTTAGAGACAAATGAATGCTTGGACCACAATGGTGGCTGCTGGCAAGATAAATCTGCCAACATCACAGCTTGCAAGGTTCTTTTCTTACACTAAGGCCCCACTTGTTTCCAGAAAATAGTTCCATGGACTCTGTCTTTTTCTTTTTCTTTTCTTTTTTAGTAATTTTTTTGTCATGTCGGACCCCATAAGACATTATATCACACGGAGTATTATTATACTCCTCCTGCCCCGTAAGACATTATATCTTATTTCCAATTTGTCACACAATTTCTTCCACTTTCTGTTTAAGGGAGAGATTTTGGGGTCCATATACTGAGCCAAGGGTCCCTTGCTCTTCCGGAAACAACCTCTCTACTTCATAGTAGGGGTAAGGCTTGCGTGCAGCCATACACACACCCTTCCTAGATCCTACTTTTTGTGTGATTTTACTGGGTTTTTATGTGTGTGGTCCATATTATTTCCCTTTCCTCTAAGTTCTGACAAACTACAACCATACAACTTCTACTTAATTAAATAGTGTAAATCCCATACAAGAAGATAATTATGAGACAGAGGGAGTACATATAACAACTTATTTTATATCAAATCGTTTATTTATAGTAAAACATTTATCCCACATTGCAACAGAGCCTTAGTTCTTTTTATTCTTCCCTATTAAAGTTTTTACATTATTAACTAAATGCCACGTTATGCAATATGTATGCAGGACACATTTCGAGGAAGAGTGTGTGAATGCCCCACAGTTGATGGTGTGCAGTTCAAAGGAGATGGTTACAGTTCGTGCAAGCGTGAGTATAAAGCATATTCATTCAACATGTATTTGATTATGCATGTTTCCTCTACCCCCTTTTGATTCATTCAAATGATTCCATATTTTGCAGCAAGTGGACCTGGCCGATGCAAACTAAATCACGGAGGCTGTTGGCATGAAACACGAAATGGGCACACCTATTCTGCTTGTGTGGTCAGTTCTTGTGCGGATTTCTTTTTCCTATCACAATAATACTTCCTCCGTCCCGAAATGATCTTCCAAATGGCAATTTTGGGTGTCCAGAATGGATCTTCCTATGCCACTTTTTGTCATACTAAATGCCATAGTTACCCAATCTCTCCTCTTTTATTACACCCCACCCACACACCATCAAATAATGAATCTTTTCCACCAAGAGAGGCAAATGCACTAGACGTGATTAAAACAGAGCACATACCAAAGAGGTTAAGGCACTAGAAGGAAATTTTCACTCTGAATCTGATTGGAAATAAATAGCAACGAGGCTTTCCTAATACCTTACAGGTGGAGGCTGTTGTTGTCCATCAAGTTAAAATAGGAAAGATTTTATTTGAAACGGAAGTAGTATAGTAATACTTTAAGTCTATCTAAATTCATCCGCTTTCAGGCCAACAAAGAATCACAGGACCCTCAAATAATGAATTTAGTGAACGCACATACTAACAAAAAAAGCAGCCCAATATTTTATTCAAATATGTAAAATCTTACTGAATTTCTAACTATCATCTTTATTTTTTGTTGAGTTGGTTTCTCCAAAAACTAATCAGATTTTAAAAAGATAAAATGAGTCCATCCTTATTGCAAAACATTAAGGGTAAAGTGGATATTTTCCACTGCTTTTCAACTCTTCTTAAAATGTGTGGAAAGTTAACTCCTTAAAATGCGTGGAAAGTTAACTTGGGAAGATTATTCCTGGATGGAGGAAGTATTATCTACTCCCTTAGTCGAGGTTTAGCTGTCCACTTTCTAAAACTCATTTTTAAGAAATGAGTTAAATATTCTTTAAATGAGTATGTCACCCATTCATGTCAACATTGCTAATACCCTGGTTGCTGAGGACATTGCACAACCTTTGCCCAGCCTCCAAGCTTCTTTTGGTTTAGCCTGCGTGCCAACTTTTCTCCTGCTCGGGTATGCCCGTTCTTGAATTGTATATCCTCTTTTGGGTTTCGATATTATATTCACATGTTACCCAAAAAAACATTGCTTATACCATCCCTAGGATATGTTAGACAATTCTTCCTAATTGCATCATTGAATATGGAAATTGGACAACTGATTCCACACAAATAAAAATGAGAATGTGGGCAACTAAATCCTGATGGATGTAGTGTTTATTTATTTACTTTTTTTGTTCTCATATTCCCCTGTGTGAAAAGCTGTTTAGATTTTATAACCATAGTTTGCTGTCAACAGGATGAGGAGGAGAGCAAGTGCACATGTCCTCCTGGGTTTAAAGGTGACGGTAAAAGTTGTGAAGGTAACACATTTAATTAATTTTCACTTCAATATTACTCCATATATTTTTTAGCGTATTAGCATCAAGAAACTCGTGATGGTTTAAGGCAACTCTAAGTTCGGGCCATGAATGGTCATCGAAAAAAGGATGTTATTATTGATTTACTGAATGCTTGATGTGAAAGTTAGAAATAAAAAATTGGTCTTTATTCATTTCTTTGACATTTAAATAGATGTTGATGAATGCAAAGAAAAGAAGGCATGTCAGTGCCCTGAATGCAGCTGTACAAACAATTGGGGTGGCTATGAATGCACATGTAGCGGTGACCTACTCTACATCACCGACCATGATACTTGCATTAGTGAGTTCTAAAATTTATTTAGTTATGCTAAGGATATAATTCCACATCGAACACCCAAACTAAAAAAGTATAAGAATATGAAATACTCTTCCCATGGTCAATGGTTTTGGCTTGGAATCTCACATACTCTTCCCATAGTCAATTGGTTTTGGCTTGGAATCTCACCATTCTACAAATCATTCTACATGTATTACTCGCTCCATCCCAAAAAACGGGTTCAATTTAAAAAGTCAACTCTAGTTTTAATTGTAGCTCATGTGGCTGTTTAAAGCAAGTGGTTTTAGTCAATTACACCAAACACTCTTGAAAACTTTAACACTATGTTTTGTTCAAGGAATTTGAAAGGGAAACGAAAAGAAATTAAGATGGAAAACAGTTTTTCTTGTTTGGTTAGAGAGGAAAAGAAAAGAAAAGTGGATGGAAAAGAAAATAAAAAGGTAAAATATACTAAGAGGAGGGAAAACCAAATTCCTTCCATTTTGGTGAGAAAAATGAGAGAAACTCATTTTCTCTTCTTTTCCTTCCTAATTCCTTGAACCAAACATAGTGTAAAGTGTACATTGGTTGAGTTGACTAAAAATAAAAGATTGTACCTTACTCAAACAAGATTCTTTTTTCTTTGGGATGGATGGAGTATTTGATATATTAAACACATGAACACAATGAGATACACAAGTGATAATTGCATAATGCTGATTCTCAAATGCAGGCAAAAAGGCCGCTGAAGTCAGATCTTCGTGGGCTGCTCTTTGGGTCATTTTGATAGGACTGGCCATGGCTTCCGGTGGGGCATATCTTGTATACAAATATAGATTTAGGGTAAGCGTGAAATCTTCCATCCAGAATAAACCCCATTTAACTTAAGTAAAAAAAATTTGTTCGTATTATTAGTTCATCACCCATGGCTACGCTTGTGGTTTGTGATCTAACCCTTTTTTTGTGTTGGTGTCGATGTGCAGTCATACATGGATTCTGAGATAAGGGCCATAATGGCGCAATACATGCCACTAGACAGCCAAAATGAAGTCCCAAACCACGTTTCTGAAGATCGTGCTTGAAGGACATTGACTCGCTGCAATGCATAAAAAGAAAATGTATGAATTTCCCAAAAAGTACAGGGAGAAGTGGTCTTATCCTCTTATATCATCAGTTTTCCTCTTCTTCTTCTTATTATTATCATGGTGTTATGAAATGCAGGAACTAAACACCTCTTACTCAGTACTCAATTACCCAAATAGGGTTTTGTTGAGGGAGAGATGTAAATGATCAATGTGAGATGTATGTGTATGAACTTAGAAACTCTGTTTGGTTGGTGTAAGCAGGAAAAGTGGTAGCTGGATGATGTGGGGCTCTGTTTATGTGGCTCCCCTCCTCCTATGGTTATGGTTAGTGACCACATTTAATCACTACTCATAAATCTGGTCTATTATGTAGTGATTGTGACTAATATTATGATTTGTAATTTTGTATGTACATTTTGTATCCCCACTCTTTGTACTCTTATTAATGTTCCCACTTTTGACTATGTCAAGAATAATACGGAGTAACATTATGAGTTTCATCATGATAGTCCGAAGCTTCTGATAACCTTTATTTCTGTATGTGTTTTATTGGTCATTTGATAAAATAAAATATTTTTGTCATTATTTTTAATATGTGAGTTTTACTTTTGATTTTATACAGAATTCTAAATAAAATCATTTTAAATTAGATGAAATTTTGCGTGTTGTTCAAAAGATTAAAAAAAATTTCGGGACGGACTGAGTACAATTTATCGTTGCATTTGCTGATACACATTTTATTAGGGATGAAACATATATTTGGATTTTGGACTGACCAAGTTCTAAATAATGTACATGCTTTTAAATTTGGGACATAGGAATAATATAGTTTCACTAATAATTTTTTTCAATTATCCATATTTGGTGAATAAAGTCAACAAAATAAGTTCAGCCCTTACTCAAATTTACTTGTTTTATCACAAAAGTGTGTTGAAAAAGTTTGTTGTGCATTTGTGGTTTATTTTCATAAAGCACAGAAATTTTAGTACTCATCCATTCCAAAAACATAAAATTACTCTTCATTATTCAAAAGTAACAATTTTTTATTATTATTTGTACATTTTGATTGTTTATTTAATAAAATAAGATAATTTTGATACTTCTTATTTGATTATTTATACTAAATAACATAATTTTTAAAAATATAAATTTTCTTTTAATTTCTATACTAATTTTTAAATAAAATAAATTTAAAAACTTAAAAAATTTCCTTCCTCCGTCCCAAATTATAATGTTTGTTCACTATTTACAGGGTCAAACTTCATTCACTTTCTTTCTCTATTTTCGTTAGCAATTTGATTAAATAAAATATTATTGTTACTACTAGTTTTATAGATCTAGTATTTGATATGTAATTTTTATTTTTTAATTCTAAAGTCTGAAACCAAAACACAAGAACAATGTCTAAAATCGATCGTCAAAAAGACGGGTGATGAGGATGGTGTGAATTCGTGTTCGATCGCAGAAATTCCAATCCAGCTGAGATAAACCTTCAATTCAACAGTTTGATAACTTTGATCTCAAATCCAACAGTTTCAGCTTCAATTCATCCCCTACAATGGTGGTCTGTAAATGCCGAAAGGTATTTCGTCCCTCAAATCTCTCTTTCCTTTCTCTTCTACGCGTCTCTATATGTAATTATACGCTTCATGAGGAGCGGTCGTTCTGTCTATGCCAGCACAAAGCGCTTGTGGTGTGATCAATAGATCTGATCGACTCGGTCATCTGCATTATGAAACGCTTTCTTCATTTTGGATTTTAACTTTTCAATGTTTTTTAGTTCGAATATATATGAACCTGGATTGGAGTTATGAGTAGAGGAAATGAGACATATTTTTAGGTTGATTTATGCTAAATTAAGGTGATAGGGAAATGTGGAAGGGGTGATGTTTAGGCCATTGTTGAGTTTCCTCAATAATGATTGTTGTTTATTGGCCAATCCTTGTTTAGTTTGATTACTATGAATACTGTTGAAATTCAGCTTATTGTGATGGCTTACCGTGTGTTGATGTGGTTCCAGGCTACTAAGCTGTACTGTTTCATACACAAGGTACCCGTTTGTGGAGAATGCATATGCTTTGCACAACATCAATTATGTGTGGTATGATTTCATGCTCATAGTCTCTTCATATACATTTCTAGTATCATGCATTATGTATCTTTGCGGTTTTCTGCATTTAAATATGGCCATTCCTTCCGATTCTCACTTTAATTCAGTATGAAGGTGAACGTATGTTGAATTGCCAGTTTCATTTTCTCCTTATTTTATTCATTCTAGATAACTTTTAAAAGATGATTGCCGTCGTCCTAGGTCCGTACATACTCTGAATGGGTCATTGATGGAGATTATGATTGGCCTCCAAAATGCTGTTTCTGTCATAATGTGCTTGAAGAGGCAGCCGATACTCAAACTATCCGATTGGGTTGCTTGCGTATGTATTTCAGCTGATGTAATTTAACAATTCTGCTGCCAGTGGTCCTATTGGGATGTAATGCATTCACGTTTATAAACTTACGTTACTGTGTTCTTTTTTTGCGTGTGTGTAGATATAATACACAAAAATTGCTTTCTATCACACGTGAAAGGTTTTGCACCACATACTTCTCCACCTGGATATGTGTGTCCAGCCTGTTCAGCTTCAGTAAGTTCTACTTCTAGAAGTTAATCGTCTTTTCTTACTTTAACTGGAAGTTTAGAGAAACCTGTATTACCGAAAAATGATTAATGATAAGTTGGATTGTGGGGTGTTTGTTTAAAAATTCAGAATAAGCCCTGAGATATTGCTCTTATATATTCATAGTTTTTCAATGCAAATATCTTCATTCTTTGTTATAAATAGTTAGTTGGACTAAATAGGTTAAATCCAACTGATTTTAAATTCCTGGTTCCAAAGTTTGAAAGAAATAGAGAGTAGTTGGGAATGGAAGTGATCTTGATCATGAGAGCCAATGGAGTTTAAAATACTAGTAATATTTTCTAACTCATCCGTGAGGAATGTGTTTTTCTTGATATAGATTTGGCCCCCTAAAAGTGTCAAAGATTCAGGATCTTCTCTTCATTCAAAACTGAAAGAGGCAATTCTGCAGGTACTTTTGTTTATTTAGATTTTGTGTCGTGGTGTCTGTACTGGCTTGCTACAAAATTTGGTCACTTCTTGTTGCTGTGCAGACTGGTCTGGAGAAAAACTTATTTGGAAATCATCCTATATCTTTGCCGGCAATAGAATCTCGAGATCCTCCACCTGCTTTTGCTTCAGATCCATTAAAACAAATTTCTATTGCTGACCCTGGTGTAAAAGATGTTGAAGGGTACATAACGCCAGGTGCAATAGGTTCGGGGAAGCCTTCCACCTTTGATATTGTAGAGACAGATGGCCCACATCCATCTACTTCGCCTCAGTCCAATCATGAGCCTGGTTTTTTTAAGAGCGCAAGCCCGCATGGTGTAAGTAATTTTTTAGTGTACGATAGGTGACAGGCTCTCTATGTATATCATTGATGTATGCATGGATGCTTGATATCATGCATGGGTGATATATGCTGTTTTTAAAGTTAGTGCTTGGCATCTTTTATACCACATGAATATCTACAAATTGCATCCTTCCCAGCCTGGCGCTACCACACGAAAGAGCATGATGCAAGTTGATAAACAAAATTCTGAAGCTTCATATTATGCCGACGATGAAGACGGAAACATAAAAAAATACTCCAAGAGAGGTGAGAGCATGTTATGATGCTCTAGTGTGCATATTAAATATGGACGTACTACTTGTGAAATGCTCTGTCCGTTCGTTAATAACTGTCCATTAAGGATAAGTTGTGATTGTTTTGAAGTGATTATTGATTTTGTCAACAAACATACCCCTATTGCCTATTGTGTCTAGGCTCTGAAAATGATTATTTGAATATGTTTTTACTTTAATGGTCTGTTAAATGGGCAATTATTTGTTAAACGACAGTTATTTGATAACGGATGGAGTAGGTTCTTGTGAGCTCATTAACTCAATAGACACATGAAACTGCTTTTTCAAACTGTCTTTGTTTTGAGGACCATATGGTATGAAAACGGAAGCCTGCTGCGCTGTGATTTTTACTGCACTATAAAGATTGTTGATGGCCAGATATATGTTTATTTTTTTCTATAGGTACATTTCGACATAAATTTCTTAGATCTCTGCTGCCTTTCTGGTCAAGTGCATTACCAACACTACCTGTAACTGCACCTCCACAAAAAGAAACATCTAATGTTGATGACGTGGCAGAAGGTCGTACACGACAACATAGATCATCTTCCAGAATGGATCCAAGAAAAATTCTCCTCGTCGTAGCACTCATGTAATGCTGCTTACTTCTGCCCACTCAACCCCACCCCCTACCCCAACTTTTTGATTTGTGAAGTTCCTCTTTTCCCCCTCTATTCAAGACTTGATGATATAGACTTAAATGCATATGGTGGGAGACGTGACGAATAGGATGGACCATAGATTTTGCTTCAGGACGGCTTAAAATGCTAACGAGCTGTTGTTTGAACATGTAGGGCTTGCATGGCAACGATGGGCATCCTGTACTACAGAATCGCACAGAGTGATCCGGAAGAGCTTCCTAAAGATGGGCAGACTGATAGTGTATCATTTGAAAGATGAAGACTATCATTTCAACCAAACAATCTCGTTGTCGGTACGTTCCCTTTTATTTGGCTCTTCTGGGGTGCATATGGTTATTCTGTAAACTAAATAGATGAAATCAATCATTGCCAAAATCTTCTTGACTTTTTTCCCCCTTCACCTTCTCCCTCCTCACTCTGAAAAAGAGGCGAGCAATACAATAGATCGATTACTATACATACTATAAAAGTGCTTATTATTTTGTGAAATTTGTGTGGAGCATTTAATATAAATAAATAAAAAAAAAGTTGGGGACTTGAGTTTATTTGAATAGAATACTCCACTCCAATCCACAACTTTTTTGCATGTGTGGAACAATGAGTTGGCTTTTCAAGTTTCAACACGAGAGCACAAACATTTTGAAAGAGTTTTCCAACTTGCAGGTGAGGAATTATTAAATTCCCACCTCTATATCCGGAGCACAAGTTTTGACTCTACTTTTTCTTTCCCATTTTTTTTAATACTAGTAATGCTTGGTGCATGCACATCAATCCCATTTTCTCATCACTTCAAGCACTAATAATAAATCTTATGTGTGAATTGTAAAAATGGGGTTGATTTGATATTTGTACACTTTGTTGGTGTAAAAAAGAGATTATTGCAATATATATGGGGTAAAAAGGTTTAATTGAACTTGATCCACAAGTGTTTGGCACTTTGGCGTCACCAATGAGTTTTCATCACGTGTTCACATATGCTCTTGCATAGTTCGAAGTGAATGTATGCTAGTCATATATCTTATCTGGAACAACTAATTATAAAATTATAAGGGTACTATTATATGCTCCCACGTTGTGAGGAACATTATTTTACATTATCATGTCCGGGACAAGGTTAAGGACAAGATTAGAGCTAACTATTAATGATGTC